ATATTGAGAAATAATTAAATGTTTTTAGTAAAATTTTGGTACAAGTGATCTACGGAGAGAGTTACAGAATTGGTCTCAAGTCACTGATTTTCAATTATAACTACACCTATTTGACTTTATGATACTAGAGGTAATTTTATATTAAGTAAAGCCAATTCTTTTAACAAATATTAATAACATAATGCCCAAGTTTTGCCTTACTAGTTTTTTTTCAGAAATTCTTTAGATTGAATATGTACCTTTACTTGAGCTTCTACAAGGCTTCACATCAGATTACAGACTCTATTTTTGGTTGTAGAGTATTTTACCTTCAGCCAGACTCGAACCATTAAACCTTGTCTATGGAAGAATGAGAGCTTAACAACTAAGCTATGGAACCCAACCCCTACACATTTATTATAACATCAAATTTAAATTTAAATTTATTGATTATTACAGTGCAAGAGAGAAACCTATGCCAGGTTTTGTCAATAGTGATCAACAAATTTAAGAAAACATTTTCTTTCTTAAAATGTTGACCTATGAAACTGCAACGAATAAATTACACTCATACTTACAATTTTGGTATATTATTTTATTTCTAAATTCTTTTTAGCCTAATTTAACCCTAATTTGATAATAACTTTAAAATTAGCTTAATGCGGCAATTTCGATCAATCGAGGCAGATGATCTACAGATGTCTTGTTTGCTATTACAGTATCAAATTTAGAATCAATTTAAATTGCTCTTAAATTTCATATTAACTTGTGCTATATTTGGAATTCCATTCCAACCTAAATTGATCCTAAATCAACAATAATTCCGTTATGACGTACAATATGTTATTGTTATTTCCCGTGAAGCGTGAAATAGCTGATTTATTTCACTGTTCTATTTATACCTCCATATTATTTTTTAAATTAAAAGCAGTGTATTTGTAAAAGTTTAGTTTATTGATCGTGAGGTTTCTTCTATTTGTTGTTTTTTTCCTTTCTTTTACTTGTTGACTCTTTTTGGCAATGTATTAAAATAATCGGTAATTACATATAATAAAAATTAAATCAAAAAAAAATGGATATACATGTCGCATCTGAAGTAGCGATTTATCTAAAGTAGCCACTTATATATCTAAAGTAGCGCCCTGGCTAAAATTATAACTTAACGCATGCATGAAGATCCAATTTCAGAGGCTTAATTTGACCAGGCGCTACTTTAGAGAAATCGCTACTTCAGATGCAACATACATATAATCAAAAGGGAATATAAAAATTCCGAATCAGTTCAAACTCAATAAGCATGAACAAATAGTATGAAAGTGTAAATCAGATGTTTATACATTTAGATTCGATTTAATTCGATTAAAATATCACCTGATATATTTATTCGAACTTTCTAATTTGATACAAACTGTCGTTTACTCAGTAACTCATCAATCTTATACGTACAAATGATACAGTTTCCTAAATCATACGTAAAAAATATGCATGTTATGATGTAACTCAATGCTTATTTAATTTTTAATTAGGATAAATAGAATTACTTTATTTGTATATATTTGAATTTTAAATTTCGTTTTCTTAATTAAAAGTTACGCAAATTTAGACATCACTATTAATTTTTACGCAAATTTAGACATCACTATTAATTTTTACGCAAATTGTTTATAGATGCAGACTTACTTACGTCACTAGTTACGCCTCAATTTTATAACCCAATTTTCTATATATAACGTAACCAGGTGATGCCACTATAAATGCAGACTTATGGCATGATCTTTGATCGGCATGGTGTAGCATAAAGTTTTGTATTCATTTTTTGTTGCCTGATGACTAATATAATAAGAATTTATCAAATATTTAAAGGACAAGGCCTACAAAATTATTAATAAAAAATCATTCTAAGTTATATAACTCGATCCTAAATAACAAAAAAAAAATCAATAATGGCTGACTATTACGATATTGAAAAAGAAAATATAGATCAAGATCCAACGAAAAAAGAAGGCGAAAGAAATGATGATGAAATAATAGAAGTAATGGGTGATGAACCGAAGAATAAAGAGACAGATTTCTTTAAACATGAGGATGAACCAAAACTTAAAAAGGTTGATTTCTTTGAAAAAGATGATGAACCGAAACATAAAAAGGTTGATTTCTTTAAAAAAGATGATGAAACTGAAAATACCAAGACGGATTTCTTTAAAGGTGAAGGTGAACTGAAACATAAAAAGGCTGATTTCTTTGAAAAAGGAACAAAAAATAAAGCATTGGATTTTTTTGAAAGAGAAAATTGAAAAACCCAGATTATATTTTTTTGAGCAAGAGGAAACGATAGACTGCTATTGTATTTTATAAAAATGTCGTTCTTAATCTAAAATTATCACTTACTATGTAATATGTGTGTGTCATTATATTTTACTATACTCTTCGTAATTTCTCTTATTTTATCAATTTTTTAGCTTAATATTTCTAAATTAGTAGGTGAAATGTTTTTCTTGTAAAAAAAAAAGTCAAGTTAAATGACATTTACAAAAAAAATGTAATAATGTAATAGATAGTTTAAAAACACAGGTTGATTTGTGCTGTTGTTGGTTTAATCGCTTTTCATATAATAAGAATAGAAAAAGAGAAATTGTTTTTAAAAGAGCTGAAATTGGTAAAATAGAGTCTAATGATTTTAAGTGTATTATTTGTGGTTCTGAAGATTGTTAAAAGATATTATCTTTATTTTTGCTATATTATTCGTTAAATTTATATTATTATTATTATTATTATTCATTAGTCATATATTTGTTAAATTTATTTATAATTTTTATTTTCTCTTTTTTATTATTTATTAGTTTCAATTAGGAGGATAACATAGCATTACTTCTGTATATAATTGTATAATTATGCAAAAAAACCAGGAATGGAAATTAAATCAAATAAATATCTTAGTACACTATAAAAATATTCGTTGTATCATTTAATGCTTTTCATTTCGTATTCAATATATATGTTGTGCCTCAGACTAACGCGTGCCTCAGATCACAGCTGACGCACCTCAGATGTAAATTGTTAAGTGAG